TCAATATAGAATAAATAGTCAATATAGAATATATAGTTAATATAGAATATATAGTCAATATAGAATGTATAGTCAATGTAGAATAAGTAGTCAATATAAAATATATAGTCAATATAGAATAAATAGTCAATATAGAATATATGGTCAATATAGATTATATGTCTCTTGTCCTTTTATCTTGTGGGTGCACGGGGCAGAGAGAGCAGGACTGATGAATAAACTGAAAACACTTCCAGTTCCTGTTTCCTGGTACTTTGGGCTGTTGGACAGTACATGAGACCTTGAGCATTTTCCTCTTTGTTGATTTTCCTGCCCCTGAAGGGCCATGAAAGGCTGAAGATTTCCTGGCTGGCCCAGATTGCTCCTCTGATGTGGGCTGAGGTTTCTCCTGGGTGTAAAGAGGGAGAGGAGCAGCAGAAGCAGCTCTCAGAGAGCCCAGCAGCCCTGGTTTCCAGGAGCTGGATGCTCAGAACACTCAGAGGACAGAAATAATAAACACCTGCTGAGGGAAAATGTCAAAATGTCCCTTCCTGGCTTTTAAGAAAACAAATTCTGAAGGCTGGAGAGAACATTCCCAAAATCAACATGACAAATAAATTAACAGCTCAATTACCCAAGTGCCTTACATGAACAAGGACAGCTCTCCATGGTACAGAAGGAAATTAAAGCCCCTACCAGAATGGGATTTTATGTTGCATTCAGGCCCACTCAAGAGAGGAGAATATTGAGACCCCAAGAGGGGATTTGCTGTTAAACTGGAGCAGACAAAGCAGGTCCCTCTGTTCTTTACCCTGTCTTTGAGAGGTGCAGGAGGGCAAGCAGAGGAGCTGTCACAGGCTCCAGCTCTTGTTCAGGTCCTTCAGCAACCAAATTAAGTTGACAGCACCCTCAGACGGGTCAGAGCAGGTACAAGGACACTGCAGGGTCAGTGGGAATGGTGTGGAACAGAATAATGAAATTCAGGGGTCTCCAGATGAGCCTCAGTGATTGCCATAACCATAAATCACATAGCTCTGTCACTGCTGTGTCCTGCAGGAGAGAGACGGGCACTGGAATGATCAAAAAGGGGTTTTCCACAGCAAAATTCTCTTGTTCTGCTTCCTTTGAAAAGGACTGTAGGTATAGCATTATTTCCACCTTTGCAGAAATATTTTATCTTAAAAAGAGTCCTATTAAATAGTCTCCAGCTGGGATTGGCTTACAGGGGGGCGTTATCTGAGCACTCCAGAGGGCTCTGAAAATAGAAGAGGGAAAATGCTTCAATAAGAGAGAAAATATATGTCTGCTCATAAAGGTTAATGTGAAATGTCCCAGTGTGCTGGAGACACAGAGAATTGTGGCTATTGAATTCATTTTCTCACTAAAAATATTCCAGTCAATTCCAAATAATCTCCTCTCCTCACTTGTGTTTCCAAAAGCCTTCTAAAGATTTTATCTTTGAAACCAACTTTCTTTTCATCTTCTGCTTTATCATCTTTGCTTTCGGGGTCAGTTTTTCTTTTTTAGTTTCTTTCTTTGCCAGGCTGCCTCACATGGAACCATTGCTGTGTCTTCCACTGAAAACACACATTGCTTGTGGAGGCATCTCCAAGTATGAACCAGCTCCTGAATGAGGAGTTGAACTGTGTTGAGAACTTTAATTTTCATGTGTTTTCAAGCTTGGGGATCCCTAACTGATCCCTGATTGTACCAGTGTGCAAAGAGATTATCACAAGCACCCAAAGAAATGTTTAATGCTAATTTAGAGGTTCTGATTGTGTCCTCTGAATTCAGCTGCCTCTCCCCTCTGCTCCAAAGGGAATAAAAGCTGAGCAGGAAGGTGATCCAGCCTGTGCCATCATGCCCTTTATCACTGGGCTGCCAGCAAATACAGAAAATACTGATTGCTTTAAAGACTTTCTCAGGCAAACCTTGATGACTGAAGAAAACAAAACCCATCATCACTCTACATTCTTCAGTTAACCTCAAAAACCACTTCCTCATGTAGGATTCTGCTCCAGGAGCTGCATCAAAGAGGAGATTGCAGCTCCAGAGCAATCCCACCCGTGGGGATGGCCCTTTGGCAGTGCTGAGCCTGAAGTTAATCCACAAGTGTCGCACAGAAAAGAGGGGCAAAAATGCAACCACACTGCAGTGATGTGCTGCCAATGCCAGAGCAGAATACATCTCTTTTAGGGGTCATTTTTAGGGATCATTTCTTCCCTCTTAGGGAGCATTTCTTCCCTTTTAGGGATCATTTTTAGGGACCATTCCTTCCCTTTTAGGGACCATTTCTTCCCTTTTAGGGATCATTTTTAGGGACCATTCCTTCCCTTTTAGGGACCATTTCTTCCCTTTCAGGGATCATTTTTAGGGACCATTCCTTCCCTTTTAGGGAC